CGTTATAAATCGCGCACGGCATGCTTATCGCCTGCTTATCTCCCACGGTTAGTAAACGCGCTTCGCATCCACTAATATATATAAACCTGTGGTAGCTGTGAAAGTATCAAGGACGTGGAACAATGGACGATCGCCGATCTGCTTACAATAGTCCATACATCGTCTGCAGGCTGCCCCGTGGAGCACCTATTAAATTCAGTATAAATAAAAACAACAACATGTCGTCGGTCCTGCCTACATCGTCACCGCTTAAACGCGCATATTATGCATGCACTCGACTCAAGCCCGCGCTTCTAGCACCCTCTAAAGCGCTCCCCCTTTACGTTTGCGGATAATATTAATAAGTGAAACAACAGTACACCGGGGCGAATATTAAACATGGAGCTTGACGAGCGGCGCGCAACTTGTCTGCGGCTTGAGAACGGTTTGAGGAGGTTTTAGGTTGGAGTTGCCTCACTTGTGCTCTCCCACTTCTGTTTGAGCAACGCACCCTTAATAGCTGGCAACAAACAAATTAGAATATCATCACGAGAGACCCAGCAAACGTGATGTAACGTAATCGGCGGCGGCATCCTACGGCGCTTTCTTTTTCTCAACCAAAAGCACTTATACGATTAATCTGCGGGCGAACGCACAGACGCAGCTTTGCGCCAACTTTCGGGGGCTCTTAGTGGCGAGATTCTCATAATGGAATTATTTATGTAGCGATCAGCCGAAATTAAAGTGCATCATTAAGTTTCCAAGAATATCCAGACGCAGAATAATTTTGACAAAACAGTAAATTTTAATACACATTGAATTTATTTTGTTGGGTATTATAATTGTGCTGATATTTTAAAATGTACATGGAAGATTTTCGTCGTGGTGTGTGAATAAAAGTCCTCGTTGCATCGTAACTTTGATGGCTTCGGGAAACTTTTGGATTATAGCTATTACTTGCCAGCTTCTGTAGTCGAGTGCCGGCTGGAAACATCCGTGTCCGTGAGATCACCCTCTTCGGCATTGTGTGCGAGCCACGACCAGAATTGTAAAATTCTGATTTTTGCGCTGCGCATATTCAACGCGCACAAAACAATCTCAGCGAGCATCTTGTAGAATATTGTGCGCCGGATTCTTTCATCGCACATTTCGCTTCTCGATAATTTTTAAATTACGCCCAACAACAAAAGGTAGCGTTGCGGAACGAAGAAAACAAGCTACGGAAAAACGGTCATATTTTTTAAAAAGAATGTTGGTGTGAGCGAAAGATGCTTTTCTTCGTTTAATTAAAAAATTGAAACTCCAATATTCGCCTAGTGATTTTATTCTCTACATAAAAAGACCCTTGGGTAGTCATAATCCATCCCGACATAGTTTAATCAACTGAAGGGTTTTTCGACTGCCGCAGTGGATATTTAAAAAAAACGCTGATTTGATTTGCATCGCAGGATTAACAAATTAATGCCGTCTGGCTGATGCCCCGTCCAGGCATGAATCAAGCACTCGTGTCCGAAATCCACGTTTATCATGTATGCCATTCAAGTAGTCGAAATCGTACAGTGCGCGTACGATACATGCGCTGGAGCGTAAGCTCACGTCGAATATTTGCTGAATAAATAAATACAGAATTTCCCGGAAATGCAAATACTCCGCCGGAATGCACACGTAGCAATGCGCAATGTTTGCGCGCTCGATTTAAATCTAATTTTATTTGCTCAGTCTGCAATTACTGTTCGTTATAAGTTACTTTTTATGACGGTTTTTATACCATTCGCAGCAGCAATACATTTCCATATCACGCCGCAAGCCATATCCACGGGTTGGGGGTAACTGGGTCGATATTCCTATGCATTGCGTGCGGATACAACCAGGATGCGTGGCTACGGTCACTCAGCTGACAAAGATTCATTGCCCGCACCATCAGCAGACGTTAATTCCACCGATTGCTTGATTGTCATCTAGATGACATCCTACCGCCCGGCCGAAAATTATTCCAATTCCACATTCCACCCGGGTTGATAAATACCCACGGGGTGATTGTGGACACTCCGTATGGTGTTTTGGGCGACGCGGTTGTGCTCTGGGGGCTGCGGATATTGAACCACATGCAAAATTTGATCTGCCGCCCAAGATAAGAGTTTTAATAATTGGGGGCATGCGGACCAGACCGTGCCGTCAATAATTGCCATCCGCCTGCCCTTCGAGCGGGTATTGCGAGCAACAGCAACAGTCGCGCCTGTTAGCTAACACGTTTCCAACCCTCGGCGATACACCCTGCAATTATAACCAATGCCGATTTCCAAGTAGACGCAAATAACACCCTGTCCATTTTTTTCTCTAACGAACCTAGCGCCAAGTGGTGTTTCTGTTAGAAATATGTATAGTAAACATGAGGGTTGTTAATTGCTCTTCGTTTTCACAGCGTGACCGGCGATGTTATGATGTGAATATTATTTAGATATTTTCGCTCGTTAATTATTTGATGTCAAGAAATTCCAGCCACCCTAGGCTGACTCTAACGATATTAAATTGCTGGGCTGCTTCTTAAAGGCACGCCATCTTGAAGCTCGACAAAGAGGGTGCGTGAGTAGCGCATAAAGTAACGTTCGGCTGGGGTGTCGTAGCAAAGTGGAAACTTTTAAATATTCCAAAACTTCAAAGTATTATTTCCCACATGGCACAGTGGTGGTACTACCGCAAGCGTTGGTGAACCTTCTTATCCCAAACATTCCTATTGCTTAACGTAACGTATTCATTAATTTATACGTTTATATATATTCCCGGGTAGATGAAGATGTGGATACGGTTGACAGACGAGGAGTTGTAAAGTTATAACTGGGTCTAGGTCTACCACTATCATCTGTTAGCAGTTCACAAATGATTATCACTAAAACAGTAGGAATCGTTTAACTCCAACACCCTTTTAACAATGCGCGGATGCCCGAAATACGCACTGGTCAGAAGGCATTGTTTGGAAAATTCCAAACCGCGTTCTGCATGACTGCCCATCTCGTAGGAATCACCCTCTATGATCGTACACGTTAGGGCGTTGGGGCCACCTCGGGAATATTCATCACCCCGTGGATTAAACGCGGAGCCCACGCGTCATACATATATTTAATTTCACGCCGAGATGAACTGTCAAGAAGTTAGAGATTGCTTCTATTTCATTTCGCAATGCCGCGCACGTATACAGCATGTTTCATTAGGAAAATAACTCAACTCCGTCGAATTTTTCAAAGGAGGACGAAGCCGGGCGTAAACGTACACATCGTTGCGTGTGCAATGATGCAAAGGTTTTTTTGCTCAGTTGGTGGCAGCCACGGACGGTAAGGGCAAAACTGTTTGCGTGTAGGTTTGCGTCAACGTGGCTGGGCTCGTCGCGTTAGGTAGTCGCAGTAAATTCCGGATCGTTTATCAACGCAGCTCAGTTGTACAGGCAGTGTGGATTAAACGTACATTTATTGCGTTACTTGTTTTTGTTTGCTCTGCCGAAAGCTCATACAGGATACTCTGTATAAGTCACAAAACACTAAATTTCTAAAAATCATTATAATTTTTAATTACGTCAATATGGACCACATATACGTCTGTTTTTGATTTAAAGTAACTTTTGGTTTAGTGTTGTTAAATTTTGAAAGGAATCTTTGCGAAGTGCTGTTGTGACTGGACCCTGTAGACTCTTGACGTGTGCCTTGCAAAATAACTATGAAGTCCTAAGTTCCTGGAACTTCAACTTAGAAGGAAGCAGAATTCTCTACTCTGGCTCTACTTTGAAGTTTACACAAGGTCCTGCATCGAGTTTGTGGAGTTGCTTCATCTCTAGAGAAATTAACGCTAAATTTATGACAGGTTTCGGCGCCGTCACCGCCAAATTTCTACATTTCCACTGATCTTTTCGCAATTTTCTACTTGAAGGTGGCTGCTTTAGCTTTCCATATACGCCTCCGGAACACGTTACGCAAAGCCGGGCGCCAGGAAGGAAAATCGATGCCGCGTTGCAGAAACGTGCTCGCTACGATACGCCTACGCAAACACCACTCGTACATTACGGTCGGCGTGACCCAGTGCCGGTCGGGCTCATCGTTAGCGAAATACGTCGGATCTCCTTCCTTCGCAGCCCGGGCAATCGCGCTTTGACGCATTCCAGTGTTTTACTTGTAATTTCTGACCTATGGCAGTTGAAAAGTTTTTAGCCTCACCTCCATTAATTACCCTGCCATCAAATGCAGCCCGATCTTGGCTCACGGCGCTCTAAGTAGCGTTGATGAGGGTCAGCAGACCCTTTCATAAAACACATAACACCAACCAAACGGCGGATCATAATGCCCCCGTTGGCGCATTAATCCCTCTGCCAAGTGTGTGACCCGATACATACCCTTGAATATTTTATGACGATTTGCAATGCTTCGACGTGATCAAAGATTTAATTGTCACTTTGCGTTTGTCTCATCTGAGCATTACACGATAACTGATTACACGCAAACACAATGCATATAAGTTTGAGGGTGGAAATAGGACAAGTGTGTGTACATGGTGAAAGAGTATGGTTCTATTGTTGACTAGACCCATTGTAGATACGTTTCGATCCAAGTTCTCCAATGCGAATACGCTTTGATGCGCTTCTTCTTCAATCGCATTGCACCATGATGCTCATGCTCAGCTTGTGCCCCGGGAGTTTAGATTAGGCTCGCTGCTGCGCACAATGCGGAATCGTAACAATGATCCCTTCTATCTCTTTACGCTTTAATATGCAAGCAAGTTGGGGTCAGAATTTATGAGAAATTTAATAACCCGGGATATAATTAAACTTTCTAACTTCCAACTAGGATGTGTGTGCGCGCACGATGTGTATGCGAAACTAATTATATCTCGGGGTGGATTATTCAAACAAGACCTAGCAAGTAAAAGTTAAATGATAAATCTTACATGCCTTACAATGTTTTATTATTTATCAAATATATCTGAAAGTATGTGATTTACTGAACTATCAAAGTAATTTGTTTTTGTTTCTTTTGCAGTGATGGCAACAGCGGTAGCACATGTTCCTTGGATTACGTACGTCCACATCGTCGCAAGTATTGACTTTTGCCGGAGGGCGCCGAGAGCGCCGACAAAAACTTCATCGTACAAGGAAATCTAGCACAGAAAACGTCGCTGCCACCATGCGTTCAACGCGTATTAAAAACTCACACCCACACACGAAGAAATTAAAACGAATGGTGAATACATAAATGTGATAAAAAAATAATTAATTCCAAGAAAGACTAATATTCTAAATATTTATATATTTATTGTTAATTATGATATTATATTGTGAATAAACCTAACTGAAAAGGACATTTGAACGCGGGGAACAGAATTTATACAGTGCGGAATGATGAAAAGAGTGCTTAAAATTTTAACACACATCTAATAACCAGTTTTAAACTTATTATAAAGAAATAATTCAGTGTCACAAGCAAATATAGTTCAAGTCATACATCCAACTCGGCCATAGTTATATATATATATACTCATATGGATACAGAAACGTGATGGTCACAAATCGAGCTTAAAACTTGGATTACCCACGTCTGCCACAGTTGAAGAAAGTCTGAACGGGTTTATTGTAAATATAATCTAAAAAATCTCATGATGATGACTGCCCACGTGTATAAAAAACAAAATGTAACATTTGAAGATTCTTTCACAGAAGTTGATATGTTATTAGCTGGAATTCCTAACTCAGTAATAAACGACAACGATATTTCTAGTTTTAAGTAGGATATAACTCGGTGCCGCTCGTGCATGAACAGTTTCAGAAAAACACCAGAACGCAGTGTATATAAATATCGATAGTAATAACCAGAAAGTGAGCTGTTTGAATGTATGTACATTAATTAATTGGCACACTTGACAAACTGACGATCTGTTTGCGTCACCGTTCGATTCCTATGTACTTACTATTTATTGTAACATACACTCTATGCAAGCTACCGTAATTAATTAACTCTAATTGCCACTCAAGACAAAACCGAAATTACATAATGTGAGCACGAGACACCCAGCGTATTTATTGTACATAGTGTATAAATGAATTAATTGTAAGGAAGGATTGCGTCATGCACATGATGACGAAATGGGCATATTAATGAATATTACGACGAGCTGATGAACTAATATGAACGATTACTAAATTATATTTTGAACAAGATATTCCAAAGCACTTTATTGTGTACATATATGGACTGCTTACTTATTAAGTAATTTTTTGAATAATAAACAAATTACATTTTATTTAAACGAAATTGTTTTCATCTAAAAATACACAAATGTTTGCCTTCCAGATAAAATTTTTTAAAACTTTTATGAAGATTGTATAACTTGAATGTTTTTGCATGTCTCTTGTCCATTGGCTCTTTCAACAAACAAAAAAACATATATTTGTCTTCTTTTCTTCATCTGTGCTTCTATGAGATGAATTTTAACCCGCAAGGAAGTATAGAGTGTCCTGGGATAGATTCTTTATTTAGTAATGTTTCACGTGTCACATATTCATGTAGCGCATTTCACAGACTAAATTTCGCATGTTTCCCCAGTAAATTTTACAGCGGTCAAAGCCTGGCTGGCGGAGTAGACCACCGAAAGCGAGCGCTGGATCCCTTGAACCCTGTGCTCGGGGACCAAGATGAATGATTTCGTTCAGTAAACGCAAACTCGCAGCCGAGACGAGTTCTTTTGTGGAGCGCAACGGTCGTAGATCATAGTGTCTCCCAGCATTTTCAGCGTGTTCTACTTTTTTTTTCCTCAGCCGGCCATCAAAAACTAAATACAGCGAGCCAACGAAGAGATATAAAGAAACAAAAACCCACAATATCATGAATTATAACTAGCATTAATTATGTGCTTGGATGTAGGTTGATTGACTAATTTATTTTCGGTCTGAATTGCATAATGTCCTTGAGTTTATGAGATGAGTCTGCAACGTCCTTGGCTTTAGTTTTTATCGTTTTTGGACTATTCCGCTTCATGCATGTTGCGTTTGCATGGACAAGTAACTTTCCGCGCTCCTTCTTTCCACATTCGCTTTCCATTCGTTTCGTTTGCTCTCACTACAACGTTGTTTACTCTCTCCAGCTGGGAGTTTATTTATTTACTGTGTTAAAGGACCGACAACCCGACAACCTGGCGAAGTTCCTGCCTGGCAGCTCGCCGCGTGCCGTAGACAATGTGGAGCCTTCCCAACTCCAGCGGCTAGAACCGCGGCGGGGGTGGTTTATAGCTTGAGGTAAATATGAAAATGTGTGCTCCTTGCCAACCCTATGCGCTGCACTATCACCACCCTATTTTCCCGTGGCGCACGCTTACCTGTTTATACCAGTTAAGTGCGCGTTTTTTACACCCTTTAAGTGTTTTTTCCTTGTTTTCCTTAAAACAGTTTTTTTGGTGTTGAAAGTAGGTATACGCTTGGTACGTCCGCCATTCCATTTGCGTCCATCCTGCTGCGATGCGCATAAAATGTATGAAGGTACATGGAGTTGTTAAACATGGACGGGGCGAACAAACGCGCGATGGAAAACGAATTACGCTCGCCTCGTAATTAAAACGGCGCGCGCATAAAACGTGCAATTTATTTCGTCGGCTTTATAATCGCCCCAATATAACGACGCGCTGCGACGACATTACGAACACGCAAGCGAACAGGTTCGTCGCGACAGGAGGAAGAATCGTAGGAGATCCAAGATCCAAAGAAGTGGCAGCGAAACGGAGGGCCACGGACACGATCGCAACACACGTTTCTCACCTAAGTGTCGGATGTGTGCACGTACTTAGTCGGCGCGCCGACGTCCGACGATCCGCGCCGCGCATAACGAGAGACGTGAAAACTGGTTATGGTTGCGTCGTGCACGCTAACTTTATTAAAGAGAAGAAGAAGAAGAAAGCCGCGGCGCTGCGCGGTCTTCTTCGGAGGACTAAAAACGGTCCAATTATCGCGGGAAGGTTGTTTGAGTGAATGCGTGTGCCCGCGTACGCCGCGCCACATTACTTCGTGCCTTTTTCACTCCTCGTTTTTTTGCTCGCACTGGTGTATCACACCAAGTAGCTTTGTATATCTTCTGCTGCACGTCGCGTGGTTGCTCATTGGTGTTGGTAATAAATGGAATAATTTAAGTTATTCAAGTATTTTTCCCATTTTTTTGCTTAGAAGTTCAAAGCCGACGACCACTTATTTATAGATACTTGTTGTTCCAAAGTGTAACGAGGTAGAACCGTTCCGGGTGTCAGGGATATTGGCCCATGCTTTGATTTTTGAAAACCATTGGGTTTAGGTAGCCAGCTGTGGTTTTGGGTGCATTTTCGAAAAGAACAACCTATTCATCAATTTCTATGGCCGTGACCAATGCGTTATTATAATGTCGATAATTCATACAGATTGCTTGCCATTCAATGCGGTGTGCGGATAGTGTAGGGACGCTTGAACCGCAACCTGTATCGAAAAAATGATTTTTGTTGATTGACTCTCAATCTTGCACCTTTCAGGAGGGAAATATTTTGCAATCCCAGCACGGCTCCTTAGAAGTGATTCAATTGTGTTGCAAGAAGTCTCCATGACTAATTTATTGATGGGAGGAAACAGATGTGCAAGAGAATATGGTCAATCTTATTTTTTATACAAAAAACTGTACCTAACAGGAAATATTTTTTGCCATTTTATGATTATGTATATACTTTATTTTTGATATTAGCACGAATATGATTCAAAATTGAGTTTCGTTTATTTCTGTATTTCTTGTTTTGCGCAACAAAAACATAGATTTGGGGAGCAAAAAAGAAAACCTACACGAAACGTCGGCGCTGGTTGAAAAGTACTATTTCATTCTTTCGAAAATGGGATGTTGGCCAAACGAATCGCCGTCTCGAACTCCGTCCGGACGGAAAGAATGGGTACATCTCAGCGCCAAACTCCTAAACTATCGGCACTCGTTAACGCCCGTTCTGATTTTATCGCCGTGCCAAATGCTCTCGACGTACGTCACCATCGTCGTCGTTAACTGTACGTGAAGCGAGCTGATGTGCACTTTCAAAATGTTTGATTTTCAAAGGAAACAGTTACTTTTTTTTAAACAGAATTTTTAACCGAATGCTACTACTATGTATGCATGATGATAGGAAGAGATGCTTCTTCCAAGCCTGTCGGGAATATTGTAACAGTGTAACGTAACGCAATATCGACGTGTGAATTAAACTATCGAATTACCAAAATGCATCAGCCCGAAAGTATTGCTTACAACTTTGCCGACACAAAGCAACCGGTCATTATTGTGTTACCGGTTGCCGTAGCGCGCGAGGCGCTCACTCGTAAAACGCTTTCTTAACGTTTTATTATTTTTTGGTAGCCAGCCGCGATCCAAGCGCCGATAAAGTATTGTTATAGCTTGTCCTTGAGTGGCACTCTCATCTCCAGATCACATCTCCAACATCGAAGGATCTAGCCTGCAGCTTCCAGCATCCAGCAGCCCGCCAAAGCAATTGTTTCAACAACTTATAAATCGTTCATAGTGTGCAGTGATAAAAAAAGTGGATCAAAATAATTTAACCTTGGAATGTCATTGGATGCTGTACAATTTTGTTTGCTGTTGGGAATTCCATATTTTGTAAAGGCTTGCCAAAAGAACTTAAACGAAATATCATCGGTTCGGTATCCAATTTTCGGGGTGCTTTGGCGGAGTTTAATTTGAGCGTTTTTTTGCCCGTTTGGCACGAAAATATCGTATTTCATGCGACATCATGTGACATTCTCAGCGTCTCTAAAGAACACTTCACGGAAAAAATTTAAGTGCCGTCACTTCACTGTGAAAGTTGTACGTTCTTTCATCCAATTTTCGTTCATTATTCTTCGCTTTTTGCTCATGCTTAAAGGTATCTTGAACAAATTTGATATTTATCTGTCCTATTCTTTGACTACCCGTACTCTATTCGAGCACTTGAAAGCTGGTAAATAAACTGTCGTTAACGATGCGTATTGTCAATCTCTTCGGGTCGTCACTGCAGTACTATCCAGCAATCATTAGGTGGAACAGTTTGAGGGCTCGTAATTTATCCTTTCAACCGCCCGACCGAGCGGGCTAAATACAAGTGACAATAAAGCAGGCGGCATGCGTACGCAAGGTCGGAAATTGAATATAATGCAAAGATGGATTTTGGCCGGTGCTCGAGATTTATGATATCGGAGAGTTTGTCTTTTGTCGTATTCGAACTGAAGACGCGCTCCATTGTCGTCCGAGTATGCGGGGTACTTGTGAACCTCGCAGTCGCTTTGTGAAATTATAAAGTTGAAATCAGCATGGCCAAAAGATCTCCTAGCGAGGGTAAAATAAAGAAATTTTGCAGTTCATCATGTTGTGAGAGATCATGCTGAGGCGACCCACTTGTATGTAAAAATTTGTAAGCTGACCACATGCCTAAACAATTCTAGTAATAGTTGTGTAATGGTTGTGCTTTTGGAAAACTTAAATTTTACGTAAGTTTAGAAGTGCGCTGAATTGCACCACGGGTTTATACGCAGACTGATTTGTTACACCTACATATTATAGTTAATAACAGCCTTGGGCGCGATCAGCACTCACCTCTACTTAAGTTTTCTCTCGTTTCGTAAGCGGCTCGTTGCAAAGTCGGCTTGTGCAGATGGGAAGGCTGGGCTGGGTCCTGGCGAGATGATGATGGAAACGTGCTCGCGTTTTTTGCGCGCGACCCAGTCGACGGTTCCACGCTTTCCATCCCAGTTATAAATACGAACAAGAGAGGCCTGAGTTAAAGTAAAGTCGCAAAGTGAGGCGATTTCAGTGCAGTAGACGCTAACCTTCTGTCATCGGATCATATCGGACGTGATTAGATTTTTACTTGCCATCAAAAAGGATCAAAATGGTTTCTTTTTTGCTTGAAATTTAGATCTACAACATCTGGTTTTATGTTTTTTTTTGTATAAAAACTAGATTGATTCCAAATATGTGTGTTTAACCTGGATAATCATCATGGTTGTGACAATAAGCAAACTGTTGTTTAACTGTTGTGATGGGTCACGATTTAAAAGCTAATTCAGAACCAGCCAGGATCATTATACCTGATATGCCTGCGCATCAAATTTCAGTTTCGGTTCATGCGTGCCGTGCTGATATCGTGTATATTTGAAAGGATTATTATTGCCGCGCTGAACGCCCGAGTGTTTGCAGCTGTCGTACGCGTCGCGTTGGAGGCAACATCGGATGGGCACGGTCAACCGGGATAGCAGCGCTAATTAATTGATTAA